TCGGATGGCCTTCGTACGTGCTGAAAAACAACACACGCTCGCCTTATGTGCACCCACACGTTCATCCGTGTGATTCGAGTTGAGTTCACATTTGACGTTCGCAGTAAGGTGCCCACAAAATTCTCATGCCTTCGCCAAAGCTTCTTGACGACATTGGCGAAGCTGGTAAATACACAAAGTTCGACCTTTTTTCTGAACTTGAAAATAGATCACACGCACCCTTAGGGACTGGAATATCTCAAAATTGTTGGACTAATTCGATGGACAGAAACCTCGACTCCACAAGAAACGCTATCGACAAAAAGATCACCATTATAACTGTACCAAAACCGTTGTATCTCTAGACCGTATCCACAATCTCCAATTTGAAACGTATCAAAAGGTGAAGTATTACTTGAGTTATGAATTTCGGCGCATTGGGAAGTATGCTGCCACATAAACTTAACTCAATCACAATTATCTCACAAGTTCCACACAAGAAAGTTAGAGTTGCAATAAAAGAGGTAGGAGGGGATGAGGAGGATGAGAGGGAATGTCCCAAAGGAGTCCCCAACCAAGGAAACCCCATACCACACAATTCCCCTCCCTATAGGCACCCCAACTTTGACATTTGTCACTTTCCCAACCCATGCCATCTACCTCACCCAACTTGGCCACACTTGCCAACCTGGTTTGGCTTCTCCCAACCACTTGGCATCATCTACAGTAGAAGTGACTAGTTTTCGAACCCCCCTAAAGTCTATACCCCTTATAGAGACAACCCCACAACTTCCCATAGTTGTCGCATCACAATCAAAACTTTGAACGATCATATCTTTCTCGTTCTTGCTCCGATCGCGACGATTCTTGGTTCCTCGAAAAGCTCTCGAGAAGAGAAGTCATTGCAGATATCTTGTCAGACAAAATAACATTCAATTACACTCAGAGAGTTCAAACCATACCGAACACAAATTCTTGCACACGCTCAGACCACGCATGCAAAGCACGAACATAGGATGGGAGGCAGACAGATGTGAATGCAAATTATAGCATCTTATAACAGTATCCCGTTGTTCCCCACCTTATCCGCTGTTATTCTTGTATGTCGCGGTTGTTGTATGTCGCTGTTACCCACCTTACACCAACCTATGAATGCAGTTCTTTATCCCAAACCTAACGACAGGTTGACATCAACGTGGTCGCGGGGGAGGTGTTGCTCGCATGCCGGACTATTGAAGTGCGTTAGGTGGCCTACGAGGATCGTTTTGGCGACAATCAGTCACCCATGCTCGGCGCGTTCCTGAAGTGGCACGGCTATCTGGTCCACCGCGAAGTCACTGTCAATGGCGTGGACTAGAATGCCGATGCTGCAGAGCACAAGTTCGTGCTACACGAGCGTAAAATCCCAGGCTATAAGACTGGCGGCGACTACTACTCGTGCAAAGCATTGTCGCAGGAGTTTGCGAAGGCCTGCATTGAGCGTCTTGAGTTCCGCCTTGAAGACCTGAAGGACCTGGCCAGCCAAGATTTTTCGGTCGTCGGTCAATCCCGACGACAACGCACAGCGGATGAAGAAGTGCCGCGAGTGGTTGGGCAGGCTGGACCACATGTTTCACCACCGCCTCTATGGTATGCCACCTGGTTGTGCATGCAATGTTCTGTCCGCTCTGTATATGTGTGTGTGTGTGTGTGTACCTTGGTGTGCTACTAAACACCTCTCATACGCCCCGATGCGCCCCTCTCCCTACTCTCCCATCCCGTCGTGTGTGTGCTTCAAGGCGTGCGAGAAGGAGCTGCAGTTGTTTCTGCACATGATGGATACCAACCACGGCAACCCAGACTTCCACAAGTCGCTCTCGCTCATGCTCCAGTCAACTGACAATATGGGAGCTTACCCGAACCTCGTGCAGCTGTGGCAGGCTGGAGCGTGCTCCCACTCAGCACGGTGGAGTGCGAGCGTGGCTGCAGTCGCCACAACCGTATCAAGTCGTGGACACGGAGCTGCCAGAGCGACGCCAAACTAGGCAATCTGATGACTATAGCACTCCAGCCTATTGAGGGCCTGAACTCGGTAAATGTGGTAGCCATTTTCAATGCTAGCAAAAAGCCTGTCCTATCCAAGAGTTCCTGTATTGACTTGTGTTTTTTCCCTGCTAAGCTAAGCGTATTCTGTTAGAACCAGACCATCCCATATGTAGGTGCTGCTGTAGTTGCTATTGTTATGTAGTTTTGTCTCTATTTTACACTTCATGCAAAATCAACCGTACATAATACCTAAACAAGGAATAGTAACTAACTTACTAGTATGCACATTGAAGAGCATGAGTAACATTACAGTAGACAATGATAAAAAAGACTGACATGGCTGCCCCACCATTACAAAAAGACCAACTTTCGCGAACTGGCTTTTTGAGTAAGTGCGCATTCAATCCTATATAGAGGCCTGACCTCAACTGATATTACAACTCTCTCTCTACACGCTCAGACCCTTGGATAGGGCCTGACCTCAGTCAGGCACCCAAGGACCCTCGAAGGTGACCCCGAGGAGAGAGTCTTAGTATCAACTAAGGGCAATAGTAGCTAGGGTAGTACGTTTTAAGAGAAACAAGTGTTATCAGAGCTCAGATTGCCACATCGATTTCCATTAGAGCGTCATGATTAAGTGCGGAGCGGAAGGGTCCTCAAGCCAAGAAAGCAGTGGAGGCCAAGCTACGGGGCTTTCAGCGCCGAGGATGGTGAGAACCAGCTAGGGGTCCTTACTAAAGGAGGTATTGAGGAACTTCTCGGTTGAAAATTCCAACGGCACTTGCTACGATGATTGTGCATGGAAGATGCAGCTATACTTCAGGCACGTGTGACTTCTCAAGTTGACGACGAGAAAATAAGAGAGGCCAAGTGATCATGAGCTGCAAGGAGAATGGGATGAGAAGGCATCAGAAGGATATTACCGTATGTCGTAGAGTCTGGAGCTGAATCAACAGGTACACATCATGCATCTGCTAGAGGAAGCAGATTGTGGGCCAAAGGCGTGGGCCGTGCTGAGGAACTTCCATGCACCGACGCCGGTGGCATCTACAGGAGTTGTCTTTACAACGAGTGAGTGAAGGGGAACCGCTAAAACCTATTCGAGAGGACGCGGGACGCGTACGCGAGGCTGACAATGGCCGTAATAGTGTATCCCGAACAAGCCAAGCGTCTGAAGATGCTGTCGCTACTACCGGAGTCATGGTTGCAGTTCACGAGTGGCTTGAGCCTCCCACAGAACTAGGGGCTATAGACTCTTGAAAAGGCAAGTTTTTGGAGGAGGATTTTTGAGTGCGCCAGATGAACAACGTGGATGGCGGCAATGGTGGTTTTGCCACGCAGGGAAGCAAATGGAGGAACAAGCAAAGTGGGCCTAAGAGCGTGCAGGGCGATAAGCGGTATGTGAACATGACCAGACATCTGGAGTATGATGAAGACAATTCAAAAAGTGGACGTGATAGGTTCATCGGAAACGGGGGTAGTACGCACGATTATGAAAACTGGAACACTGAAGCTATAGGACAAGGAAGCTACAGGGCTGGATCTGGACGCTTTAGGGGAAGTTGTTGGTACTGCCAAAAGAGGGACACACTTGGGTTCAGTGTCACAAACGGCCAGACTAGTGAAACCCTAGTTACCAGAACAATGACAGGAATGAAGGCAAGAGGAATGGCGTCAATATGGTAGCGGATCGTGATGGCTATAAAGGAAGGGCGGCAAGGCACTTCTTCCATGTGATGGCCGGAGAAGCAGCATGTGTGAAAAGAGCACGAGACGAATCCGCGCGACGCACTTGGACCTTGGACACTAGAGCCGCTTGGTCGATGACACCGTGTGCGGAAAGTATTGGTGTAGCACCCGTTTCAGAAGTCAAGTCTGGATCTGGACATTCAATGAGAGTGATGGGTGCAAGAAGGGCTGCATTCTTGGGAGCTGACGAGAAGGCGATCGTGATTGAGAAAGTGTTGTTTGTACCAAAAATGGCAGCAAACTTGATATCGCTAAGGAAGTTGGCGATTGCTAGAGTGAACACCGAGAGCAGAGCTGGGCACTTCAAAGGAATGTTCAGGACTAAAATGTCAACGGTATTTGTGGTTGGCCTCGTCCTCACTTGGGCGGAACCGACTTTGTGGTCGGGTGTGCGGGAGATGCAGCCGACCTGAAGTAGTTGGCGACGCCGACTTGGGCGTGCTGGTCGACAATTGTGGTCGACCTGCATGGGGCCACTGCAAAGCCGCCGACCTTGGGGAGCCGGTGGCAGACTTCGGCCTGGTGGTCGACGAGGGGAGACGTCGACCTGGGTGGGGCGCCGACTTCGGAGGGCGTCAAGGTCGACCTGGCGAGGTCGACCTCGAAGGCGTCGACTTGGTGATGCTGACTTTGGGCAGCCAACTTGGTATGGTTGGCTTACACCTGCGCTGGTCGACCTGAAGCTGGTCGACCAGGAGCGTGTGTTGGAGTAGGCTAGAGCTCGCTCTGGCCTTTATTTTGGTGTTCTCTTATCATTCCACCATGCTTAGAGCGAGTTATGCTTCCAGGTTCAATTTAGGTTCATTTCATAGCTATAGTATAGACTGAACACACCCTAAGTTCAATTAGGGTTTCCAATTCCTTTCTAGCCTTGTATCTCGACACTTCTTTCCTAATACAATTCTCTCGCTACCTTCTCTCTCCCTAGCCATGGCTTCCATATTCCTAGCTTCAACATGGTATCTAGAGCCAAATCCTTGGCGTTTTGTCTCAATCTATATCTCGTAGTAAGGTTTAGGCCTTAGGTATCCGGCGCGCCATCTTCTTACCTAGTCGAATTTTTTTTTCCCTACTATTTCGGCCCTTAATTTTCTCCTGTTTTTTTCACTCGCGGTACATTCTATCCATCACCTGCGGCCTCCTTGCCTAGTCGCGCGCCCTGTTCCGTCGTCGCGTCATCCTCCCCCTGCCCCGCCTCGTCGCGCGCCCTAGCCACCGCCGCGTCGCGCGCCCTGCCCGTCGTCGACATGCGCGGCCTTCCCGCCGTCGACGCGCGTGGCCTTACTGCCGTCAACGCGCGCGGCCTTCCTGCTGTCAACGTGCCCGCACGTCTTGCCCACCGCCCTCCCTCTCCCCGGCCACCCTTCCCTCCCCGTGGCCGCCCTCCCTTACCCTCTCGTTGGCGTCCTGCCTCACCTCCCTTCAGGCGCCTTCCCCTTCCCTCGTGGTGCACCTTCTTCTGCCGCTTTTGCACCACCTCCTCCTTCTCCCCTCACCCCTTCCGCCTCTTCACCCTCCTCCTCCTCTCTTCATACATTCCTCCCCTCTGTGCCTCTCCTCCCTTCCTCCACCTCCTTCCCCTCCGCCTCTGCCAACTGGCTGCGTGGTATTGGTTGCCACTTGGTGATCGTGACCCTACTTCCTCCCCACCTTCCGCCTCTTCACCCTCCTCCTCCTCTTCTCTCTCCCTCTATTCCCCCCCCCCCCACCCTCTAACCTCTTCCTCCGCCTCTCTTCTCTCCCTCTCTGCTGCAGCTGGTAGCTGTCTGTGTTTCGGCGCCAATCTCCTTCCACACCTTTCCTCCTCCTCTTGTTTCTCCTCTAAGCGGCGCAGCAGCAGACTACTCCGCCGCTATCCCTCCTCCTCGTATTTCTCCCCTCAGCGGCGCAGCAGCAGACTACTCTGCCGCTATCCCTCCTCCTCTTGTTTCTCCTCTCAGCGGCGCAGCAGCAGACTACCCCACCGTTATCCCTCCTCCTCTTATTTCCCCCCCTCAACGGCTCAGCAGCTGACTACCTCGCCCCTATTCCTCCTCCTCTTTTATCTCCCCACATCTTCTTCATTTTTATCCCCTCCTTAGATGGGGCCCCTTATCACTCTTCCCTCTCTTCCTCTGCGTTTCCGCCCTCGCCCCTCTCCCGCCGTACCTCCTCTCCTACCCTTGCCTTCCCTACTCTCCGCTCCCTTCGCTGCCCCTTCCTCCCCTTTCTACTCTCCTGCTTCTCGCTGGACCTCCCCTCTTCTCCAACCCTCTGCTTGGATTCCGCTGTCCCATCGGCGTCGCCGCTCTTCTGCCGTTGTAACCTCTGTTATTGGTTCTTTGGCCTCTGTCTTCAGTGTGACCATGCCATCTCAGGATAGCATCCTTGGTGCTTCTCCTCTTATGGACCCTCGCTTTGTCGTTCCATTTTCTCCACCTCTTCACAACACTCCCTCTCACTTGCCCAGCCCTACGGTTGCCGCTCTCTCACTTCATCGCACCTTGGATTTTGTCCTTGACAGTGCTGCTACTGACTCTGTCTTCCGTGATGCTGGTTTCCTTCGTACTTTTCCTCGTCCCCTTTCTATTGATGGGGCAGGGGAGACCATGACCATGATCTGCACTGGCACTTCCTCTCTTCCTTGTCATGCCTCTCCCTCTGGCGCTATTACTGGCCTTTATGTTCCCTCTTGCCGTCACAACCTTTTATCTCTCCCTGCCCTCCAACGCCTGGGTGTGCGAGCGCTCTTCCCCGCAGGTGCACTCTATTGTGATCTTCATTACCTCGACCGGCACCTCGCTCGTTTCACCCTTTCTCCTATTACTCGCCTCTACACCGTTCGTGTTCCCGTCCCCTCCTTTGTCCATCACACTTCCTCTTCTACTGCCCCTCCTGTCTCCTCTTGTGACTATCGCTCCCTCACCCTGTCAGAATCCCAACCACTAGACCATTGGGATAAAAGGGCTTGTTTAAGTAGCGGGTCAGTGCGCTCATAACCCCCCTAGGCCAACGTGCCTGTAACCCTTCCCTAGGATCAATCGGGGATCACCAGTGGACCTCTGACACCCCCCCGCACTGGGATGCCCGAAGTGCATACACCGGGATTCGAACCCGAGACCTTCGCTCTGATACCATTTCAGAATCCCAACCACTAGACCATTGGGATAAAAGGGCTTGTTTAAGTAGCGGGTCAGTGCGCCCATAACCCCCCAGGCCAACGTGCCTGTAACCCTTCCCTAGGATCAATCGGGGATCACCAGTGGACCTCTGACACACCCAACCTACCCTTCTTCTCCATCATCGCCTTGGCCACCCCAATTTCCCTCTCCTTCGCAGCATGGTCGATTCGAAGCTGCTTCATGATCTCCCTTCCTCTCTCCCGCCCCTTCCCCCCTCTCCCGCTCCTCCATGCACCCCTTGTGTTCAAGCCAAGCTCTCCCAATCTCCTCATCCTTCTTCCCCTTCTGCCGCCCCCAAACCCCTTGATCTTGTACATATGGACCTCCGGGGTCCCTCTCCTATTGCCTCACGTCAAGGTCATCGTTACTTTCTCCTTCTTGTTGATGACCACTCTCGCTTTGCCACTGTCTATACCCTCCGTGCCAAATCCGATGCCCCCTCCCTCATCATTCGCTGGGCTGAGCTGGCGCGCCTTTGCTTTGGTCGTCCTGTCGCACGCCTCCACTCTGATGGTGGTGGCGAGTTCTTTAACCACTCTCTCTCTTCTTACTGCTCCTCTCATGGCATTCGCCAAACCTCCACTCTTCCGCATTCTCCCGAACAGAATGGTGTTGCCGAGCGTCGTATTCGCACTCTTATGGAGATCACCCGCTATCTCCTTACTCATTCCTCTGCTCCACATTCTCTTTGGAGCTACGCTCTTGTTCATGCCACTCTTCTTTCCAACCTTCGCCCTCATCCCCTTCGCCCCTATATTATACCCTTTCAGCTCTGGACTGGCCGTCAGCCCTCCGCCCGCCCTCTTCGGGTGTGGGGCTGTGTCGCTCATGTCCTCATCAATCCCGCCGATCGAGCACGCCAGGGTGGGAAGCTCGCTCCCAAGACGCAGCTCTGTGCGTTCATTAGCATCAACATTGACTGACCTGGTTATCTTTTCTATGCTCCCTCTTCTCAGCAGCTCATTCGCAGCCAGGATGTCATCTTTGATGAGACTCGATCTCTATTCCAAACTCCCCCTCCCACCCCACCTGCTCCCTCTCTCCATTGGTTTGACTTTGATCCGCTGCCCTTTGCTGCTCCCTCTCCTCCTCCCCTTCCTCTTGCCCCTGCTCCACCTCCCCTGCCTGCCTCCTCCACTCCCCCCTCCGCTGTCATCTCTGGCATCTCTCCTCCTGCCTTTTCATCTTCTACTCCCATGGCCCCTCCCTCATCACCTCCTTCTGCTACCCCCCCCCCACCCTCTCCACGTCTCTTTACTCGTTTCTCTCCCTCTCCGAACGTTGATCTTCTCGAAGATCGCTTTGAGGAGCTTTTCTCTGTTCATCCTGTTTCACCCCTCCTCTGTGTCACCATTGGCGACTTCTCCAATTTTCCCACTCTTCTCTCTGTTGACACTGCCGCTATTCCCACCCCTCAGACCTATTCCGAGGCAGTGTCTGGCTTTCATGCAACTGAGTGGATGGCTGCCATCATTGCCGAGTGTGAGGCATTCACTAGGACTCACTCTTACGTTGACTCTGTCCCCCCCCCTGGCGCCACCATTGTGAAGGGCAAATGGGTCTTTCGTGTCAAACAGTTGCCTGTGGAGCTCCCTGTCTTCAAAGCCCGTTACTGCGCCAAAGGCTTCACCCAACGTGAAGGCATTGATTACTATGCCACTTACTCCCCCACTGCCCGTCTCCCCACTCTTCGCCTCCTTCTTGATCTAGGCGCCCGCTGGAATTGGGAGATTCACTCTATGGATGTCTCCAATGCCTTTCTCCAAGGCGAGCTTCATGAACGCATTTTCCTTGAGCGCCCAGCTGGCTTTCCTCGCCCCTTCCCTCCAGGCACTGTCTGGGAGCTGAAGCGCCCAGTGTATGGTCTTAAGCAGGCCCTACGCGAGTGGCATGCTAAGCTTGCCTCCACTCTTCACTCTCTTGGCTTCTCCACCTCCTCTTCCGACCCCAGTCTCTTCATTCGCACTTCCCCCCACATGGTTTACATTCTTGCCAACGTTGATGACTTGGTGCTCCTCGCTGAAGATTCTGCCGACCTTGCCGCTGTCAAGCTAGCCTTCCAGGCACGTCTCCTGTGCAAGGATCTTGGCGAGCTTCGCCACTACCTCGGCATGGAGATTCGTCGCGATCGTACTGCGCGCACCATCTCTCTCTCTCTCAATCTTTCTAGATCCACTCCCTCCTTGAACGCTTTGAAATGTCACAGGCTAAGCCAGTTTCCACTACTCTTCCCGCTAGCCATCAGCTTACTGCCCCTGCCGTTCCCGCTCCCTCCTCGGAACTGCGACCCTATCCTAAGCTCGTTGGGTCACTCATGTATGCTATGATGTGCACTCGCCCCGATCTTGCTTACCCCCTCAGTATCCTCTCTCGCTTTGTTGGCCTTGGTCGACACACTGACGTGCACTGGGCGGCTGCCAAGTGCGTTCTCCGCTATCTCCGCGCTACCTCTGATCTTGCTCTCACTCTTGGTGGCTCTTCTCCCCCTGTTCTTTCCGGTTATAGTGATTCCTCCTATGCTGATTCTCGCCCTGATCGCCGCTCCTCTCAGGGTTATGGTTTTACTCTTGGCAGTGGTCTCATCAGCTGGCACTCCACTCGCTCATCCTCTGTCTGCCTTTCTACCTGCGAAGCTGAGTTGTACGCAGGCACCTTGGCAGCTCAGGAGGCTCGCTGGCTCTCCTTTCTCCTTGCTGAGCTCGGTCAATCTCAGCCCTCTGTGACGCTCTCCTGTGACAGTGCGAGCATGATTCATCTCACTGAAAATCCTGTCTATCACGCCCGCAGCAAACACATAGAGGTCCGCTACTTCTTCGTGCGCGAGCTGGTGCAGTCTGGCTTCTTACGCCTTCGCAAGGTGGGCGCTACTGCCAACCTTGCTGAAATTTTCACCAAGGCCCTTCTGCGTGCGCCACACCGTTTCTACATGCGCGAGCTTGGGCTCACACATCTTGCCACTTCTGGGGGTGTTCCTGTTCGCTAGGTGTTTTGTTCCAGAGCTTAACCTAACCTGGGGGTGTGTTGGAGTAGGCTAGAGCTCGCTCTGGCCTTTAGTTTGGTGTTCTCTTATCATTCCACCATGCTTAGAGCGAGTTATGCTTCCAGGTTAAATTTAGGTTCATTTCGTAGCTATAGTATAGACTGAACACACCCTAAGTTCAATTAGGGTTTCCAATTCCTTTCTAGCCTTGTATCTCGACACTTCTTTCCTAATACAATTCTCTCGCTACCTTCTCTCTCCCTAGCCATGGCTTCCATATTCCTAGCTTCAACAGCGCGGTCAACCTGGAGTTGGTTGGCATGAGATGGTCATCGACTTGGGAGGTCGACGTGCAGAAGGAGGGGCTGGTCGACGAGGTGGTCGCCCAGTCGACCAGGTTACACGGGCAACGGTTTCTGCGGAGGCACGTGACAGTTGCCCAGGAGTTAGTGGCGAGGCCGCCCTCTGCATGGTATACCGAGGTCGACGTGGCTGATCAGAAGCAGTCGTCAGCACGAGGACGATTTGGTGTGTGCGTTGTACAGGTGACAAGACACATCTCGCCAATCATCTGCGAGCACATGCAAAGCGGGTGTGCAGCTATCCTGCGGGTGCAACGCTGTGCAGCCGACTTGCTGCAGTGTTGGCACGCCGTCGACTTGAAGTGCTGGTGGGCCGCGACTTTGCACTGCTGGAGCGCGGTCGACCAAGTCATGATGGAACGCGATCGATCGTGCTGAGCTGGCAGTTGTCCTGCTTGCATGCTAGCCATGACGTAGTCTTATCTTGCCAACCTCATTGTACCATTGTTGTCAACTTTTCCTAGTGAACCTCTTGCCAATTATCCCTGTGAACTAGCAAGTAGTGGGCAC